CCGACGGCTCAAAGCATCGGCAACCCTGTTCGAGGCGCCCGACCAGTGTCGAAGAACAAATGTGAACTACTGAAGGAATGATGTCCACGAAGCATGCCGTGCCGAAATATTATCCTGTGAGGCAAGATGGCGAAGAGCCTCGTGATCGGTATACAAAACAAACTCCCGATGGAAAAGATAGTGTCGCCAATGTCGCACAGCACGCACCACCGCATAAAATTCAACATCATACGTGCTATAACGCAGTCGGGAGCCCGACAACTTTTCACTGAAAAAGGACACCGGACGTCCGTCCTGGCTAAGGACAGCACCAATACCCACCTTCGAGGCGTCGCATGAGAACTCAAAGGGTCTTGGAAAGTCCGGTAAAACGAGCACCGGAGCGTGTGTCAACTTGCTCTTAATGAGAGCAAAGGCCTCCTCGGCTGCCGCTGTCCAGATAAAAGTCTTTCCCGTGAGACAGCTCGTGATCGGAGCCATGATAGAACTGAAATGGGAAATGAACCGTCGATAGAACGAAGCCAAGCCATGAAAGCTGCGAGCCTCAGTGAAAGTAGTAGGCGTAGGCCAAGCACGAACGGCTTCCACTTTGCTGTCATCTACACGTATCCCAGCTCCGGAGATCACAAAACCCAAAAACAGAACCGAGTCCACCATGAAAAGGCACTTCTTCGGGGCTGCATAAAAGGACTGAGCCCGAAGAATAAGTAAAACCTCCCGAACGTGCTCTAAATGCTCCTCCACGGTGCGGCTATAAATAAGGATGTCGTCGAAATAAACGACAACACATCTGCCAATAAGGTCACGAAGTGACTGATTCATGACCCGCATAAAAGTACTCGGAGCATTCGAAAGGCCGAAAGGCATAACCATCCACTCAAAAAGACCTTCCCGTATCTTGAAGGCTGTCTTCCACTCATCCCCCGGTCTAATGCGGATCTGATGATATCCACTACGGAGGTCCAACTTTGTAAAAACAGTGGCACCATACAGCTGATCAAATAGGTCGTCCAAACGAGGAATAAGAAAACGATACCTGACTGTAATTTTGTTAATTGCCCGACTGTCCACACACATACGCCACGCGCCGTCTTTCTTTGGGATCAACAATGCTGGGACAGCACATGGACTCAGACTCCGGCGCACAACACCACGCTGAAGGAGCTCCTCCACTTGACGCCGCAGCTCCTCGTGTTCTACCGGGCTCATCCGGTAGTGTGGTCGGTTTGGCAAAGAAGCCCCCGGAATCAAATATATCTGGTGTTGGATATCTCGTAGCGGTGGTAAACCTGAAGTCAGCTCGGACGGGAA